GGAGAAATGTCTGTTCAGGTCTTTTGCCCATTTTTTAATTGGGTTGTTCTTTTGTTGTTGAGATGCATGAGTTCTTTATATATTTTGGAGATTAACCCCTTATCAGATGCATGGTTTGCAAATATCTTCTCCCAATTGTTAGGTTGCCTTTTTGTTTTGTTGATGGTTTCCTTTGCTGTGCACAAGCTTTTTAGCTTGATGTAGTCCCATTTGTTTCTTTTTTCTATTGGTTCTCTTGCCTGGTCAGACATGGTGCTTGAAAATATGTTGGTAAGACCGATGTCGAAGAGCGTACTGCCTATGTTTTCTTCTAGAAGTTTCATAGTTTCAGGGCTTACATTCAAGTCTTTAATCCATTTGGAGTTAATTTTTGTGTATGGTGTAAGATAAGGGTCTACTTTCATTTTTTTGCATGTGGCTGTCCAGTTTTCCCAACACCATTTGTTGAAGAGACTTCTTTTCTCCATTGTATGTTCTTGGCTCCTTTGTCAAAGATTAGCTGTCCATAGATGTTTGGGTTTATTTCTGGGCTTTTGATTCCATTCTATTGATCTGTGTGTCTGTTTTTGTGCCAGTACCATGCTGTTTTGGTTACTATAGCTTTGTAGTATTTTTTTTTTTTAAAGATTTTATTTATTTATTTATTTTCCCCCCAAAGCCCCAGCAGATAGTTGTATGTCATAGCTCCACATCCTTCTAGCTGCTGTATGTGGGATGCAGCCTCAGCATGGCCGGAGAAGCGTTGTGTCAGTGCGCGCCAGGGATCCGAACCCGGGCCCCCAGCAGCGGAGCGCGCGCACTCAACCGCTAAGCCGCGGGGCCGGCCCGATATGATTTATCAGAGTTGTCTTTTTTTTTTTTTTTTTGAGGAGATCAGCCCTGTGCTAACATCTGCCAATCTTCCTCTTTTTTTGCCAAGGAAGACTGGCCGTGGGCTAACATCCATGCCCATCTTCCTCCACTTTATATGGGACGCCGCCACAGCAATGCGTCGGTGCGCGCCTGGGATCAGAACCGGCAAAACATGGGCCGCAGCAGCTGAGCGCGTCCACTTAACCGCTTGCGCCATTGGGCCGGCCTTGCAGTATATTTTGAAATCAGGGAGTGTGATAACCTTCAGGTTTGTTCTTTTTTCTCAGGATTCCTTTACTTATTCGGGGTCTTTTGTTGTTCCAAATAA